TTAACTTTTCATAGTCTTTGCTTGAGTGGTCTAATTTGTCCACTTTATCTTCCAGTCCTGATATCCTCTTTTCCATTTCATCCATCCTCTTGGTGAGGCTTTTTTCTGTCTTTTCTAATTGGCTTGGTGAGTGTTTCACTTCCTTCTTCATTTCAGCCTGAATATTCTTCAATATTTCTAACTCTTTTCTGAATTCATTCAGAAGTTTCTCCCTATCTTCCTTCAGATCTTTGATTTCTTTGTTGTGTGTTCTTTAAATTAACTGAATTCTTTTCATGTTATTATTTTTTCTCTGTGACTTTGACATGTGAATTTCTTCCATAGCTTCTGATTCTTCTGTGAGACTCAAGCCTCCCTCTGTTGAGTTTAGATATGTTTCTTTTCATAAACTTTATTTGCATTTATGTTTTACTTGCTGGGCATGAAAAGCTAGTCGGTCTAGGCTTCAGGTTCTCTCTTTTTGATTTTGTATTGGAGTGGCCTAATTTCTTTTTGTCTTCAGGAGTTCCCACAGAGGCCTAAGTGGGATGAAGCTCAGATATTCTCAGGCTTTCTTCTAAGGTCTGGATCCCTCCAGAAAAGATGCTTCCCTCAGGAATTTCGGGGGCTGGGCTGGCCTGGAAGCAGGGCCCAGGAAAGATGCTGGTCTCAGGAAGCTGGTGGCTGTGCCACCCTGGGATGCAAAGGGAGGTGGGAGCAGGAAGAGGCCCCAAGGGCTCCTGGGGACTACTGGGAGGAACTGAGTTTGTCTGGATGCAAAGAATAAGGAAGCAATGGTGGCTCTGGGCAGAGAGGTTTGCCCTGGTGTCTGGGGTGCCAGGAAAGAAATGGGCCCATACGAGGCTAGGAGGAGAGATGTGGTGGGGAAGCTGGGAGGGTGAAAGAGGATGGGGAAGTCAAGGTGTGGTGGGTGCCTGGACTTACCCAGAAAAGTACTAGCACAAGGATGCCAGGAGGCTGTGCAACCCAGGGAAGTAGTGAAGTGAGAGCGGAACTAGGCCCAGAGGGCTCCTGGAGACTACAGGGAGGAACTCGTTTGGTCCAGTTGCGAAGGATCAGGAATCAGTGGTGGCTCTGGGCTGAGAGGTTAGCCCCAGTGTCTGGGGTACCCAGGCTAGGAGGAAAGAGGCAGCAGGGGAGCTGGGTGGATGAAAGAGGCTAGGGGAGTCAAGGTGCAGTGGGTGTGCTGGACTTACCCAGGAAAGGTGCTGGCATCAGGACACCCAGAGTCTGTGGAGCCCAGGAAAGTAAAGGGAGGTGAGGGTAGGACCAGGCCCAGAGGCCTCCTGGGGATGAGGAAAGGTGCTGGCGCCAGGATGCCCAGAGGCTGTGCAGCCCAGGAAGCAAAGCTGAGATCATTTTGTGAGTCAGTTCTTACTGTATTGTTCACTTCAGGAATCAACCAGAGCTTTGGTTCTTGCTGCCTGTATTCTTCTGGAGACGTTCTGGGATATGTTAGATCATCTCTGTTTTCCCAAATTAAAACAAAAAGGTGAATTTTCACTTTTCTCAGGAGACCAGTGTTGTATACAGATCTAGTCAATCAAAGACATGTCTCATAATTTCCCAGCATAATGCTCAGTGTAAACTAGGGATCATCTACTTCCATTTTCTCCCACATCTGTATTGTGTATGCAACTGTTGCCCCAAATGGGCAGAGGATCCTCTGTCTGTTAAATAGTCAAGTCCCTGCCCATAAAAATCTGCCTTTATCAGCAGAACGGAGCAAAGGAGTGAAGTCCCCAGGAGAGCAAGGAAGGCATGATAGCAGTGAAGGAGCTTCATCATCGGTGTTAATATTGAGTTGAAGGTTCTTCTTGAACACTGTTTGGCTTTGTTTTTGTTCAACAATGTAGTTCAGACAAATAAAAGGGATGCTTTCATAGTGAGGTTGAATAAGTTTGCAGTATGTTCCCAGTTGTCTTGAGAACAGGTCAGCCTGTTCTGGAGTGTACCTGCTAACTGCAGATTTATGGCTTCTGTGGGTTATGCTTGGCTTGCTTCTGCAAAATAGTAATTGTTTTTTTAATAGAATGGTAATTGTTAAGGGGGCTCCCCACCTGTAAGCGTGGGAACTTAAACTTTTCACCCCTGGTTATGGGTTTTTTTGTATGAAAGCTTACTCTAGAGACAGCTTGGGGTTGCACATCAGTTCCAACACCCTTGTGTAGTCGCTGGCCAGCATATAAAAGACTTTGTCTGAGTGCTCTTCTCTGGTAAAGCGCTTCACAAAAATGGTGTCCACGATTGTCTGGCAGAGGCAAAACAACTGCATATTCATGGTTAGAATGAATTTGCTTTCTACCTCTAAACAGATTGATTGGGGCTAATGCAGGGATTGGATAATCTAGAAAAGAATGGGAAACTAATTGGTTTCTACCACAGGAGAATCCCCTTATGGGACAGTTGATAATTCCACTCAGGAGTCACTCTGCCAGGAAAAATCCCACCAGGTCTTTGTCTTGGTGACAGAGAAGGAGCAGGAAATTGGTCCTGTGAAGTATTTATGCGAAAAGTGCATTCATTTGACTAGAGCCTCTTTTCCTGTCCATCTGCTTACTGGGGAACTACTTCCTAATCCCTCATTCCCTCTTTCTGAGAGATCACTTTAACTGCCATTGGAGAATACTGCACAGGCTGCTGAGGAACACATGCCTCCTTTGGTCAGTATCAGTACCTGACATGACATGTTCAAAATACAAAGAATGCTAAGAACAGCAGCCCTGCCAAATGTATAATCAAAAGAATCATCCGTCCTACCTCAAAGAAGCCCATGTGAGAGGAGGGGCACATCAGGAGAGCCAACCAAAGAATCCTTGACAGGCACTCTCATATGTGTGGACAAGACAGTGGATTCTTTCCCATTTTTATCTTCAGAAATGGGTATTTGATGAAGTAATCTAGTGGTCTGGTTGAGAGTTTGAGGAAATTTTTATCTTTCAGCTTGAATTCAGACACTGGCCTTGGACACAGTACCCTTGACCTCACGGGGAACATCCAGGGGTAAGGTCAGACAGATGGTCTACTCAATAGTTATCTTCGTTTTTTTTCAGTCTCAGAAGGAAGATGTGAGCCATTTACCTGGGCCTGTAGAACAGAGAAGTGAAAATATGGCGAGGGTGGAAACGGAAGGTATGAGCTGTGTTTTATGAGAAGTCCTTAGGAGGAATATGTATTTAAGCCAGAGGGAATATGTGTGCTAGGAGACAAAGATACTTCCCTAACTCTTATTTCATAATCTAAAAGAGAAAAGATATAGGAACTTGATATCTGACCAGCTTCAGCACTGCAGCAGCTGGATTATGAATGTATAGAAGGCACTGTAGCATCAGAATGGTAGTCAGGCACATTAAAGTGCAGAGAAGACCAGGAAATGAATGGCGAGAAACAGACAGAGTGACAGAAACCAGTAAAGGGCTGTGCTGAGCTTTGCATGTGAAGTGTCCCTCATAGGCTCATGGATTTGATCACAGTCCCCAAGTGGTGACACTGTCTGGGTAGGCTGTCAACTCACTGGCAGGTTGAAATCTGCTGGAGAACATGGGTCACTGAGTGAAGGACAGCACTTTACACCCTGATCTCCCT